AGTTGTTTATTGCGAACCGAGCGTAGGTGTTCTGCAAAGCGGTCCCCAAGCCTCTGCTTGGTTTCCCCAATGTAGAGGAGGCCATAACGGGTACAGCGGATGCAGTATGCCACATTAGCAGATGTGCAGGTGAACATCTGCTTGATGTGGAAAGTCTTCTTGGGGCCTGGGATGGGGGTGAGGGAGGAGGTGTGGGGGCAGGTGTAACACTTCCTGCGGTTGCAGGGAAAAGTGCCGGATGTGGTGGGGCTGGAGGGGAGTGTAGAGCGGACAAGGGAGTCACGAAGAGAGTGGTCCCTCCGGAAGGCAGATAAGGGTGGGGAGGGAAAAATGTCTTTGGTGATGGGGTCGGATTGCAAATGGCGGAAGTGTCGGAGGATGATGTGTTGGATCCGGAGGTTGGTGGGGTGGTACGTGAGGATGAGGGGGACTCTTTTTTTGGTTGTTATTGCGTGGACGGGTTGTGAGGGATGAGTTGCGAGAAATGCGGGAGACACGGTGGAGGGCGTTCTCGACCACTGTGGAGGGGAAGTTGCGGTCCTTGAAAAACGAGAACGTCTGAGATGTACGGGAGTGGAATGCCTCATCCTGGGAGCAGATGCGGCGGAGGCGAAGGAATTGGGAGTAGGGGATGGCATTTTTGCAGGAAGGTGGGTGGGAGGAGGTGTATTCTAGGTAGCTGTGGGAGTTGGTGGGCTTGAAATGGATATCGGTTTCTGGGTGGTTGCCCGAGATGGAGACAGAGAGGTCCAGGAAGGTGAGAGAGGTATTAGAGATGGTCCAGGTGAACTTAAGCTTGGGAAGCTGTTGGTGAAGTGGATGAACTGTTCAAGCTCCTAGTGGGAGCACGAGGCGGCGCCGATACAGTCATCAATGTAACGGAGGACGAGGTGGGGTTTAGGGCCAGTGTAGGTACGGAAGAGGGATTGTTCCACATAACCTACAAAGAGGCAGGCATAGCTTGGGCCCATGCAGGTACCCATGGCCACCCCCTTTGTCTGTAGGAAGTGGGGGGAATTGAAAGAGAAATTGTTGAGGGTGAGGACGAGTTCGGCTAAGCGGATGAGGGTGTCAGTGGAGGGGGACTGGTCGGGCCTGCGGGGCAGGAAGAAGTGGAGGGCCTTTAGGCCATCTGTATGGGGAATGCAGGTGTATAGGAACTGGACATCCATGGTAAAGATGAGGTGTTGGGGACCGGAGAATTGAAAGTTCTGGAGGAGGTGGAGGGCGTGGGTGGTGTTACAGATGTAGGTAGGGAGTTCCTGGACCAAGGGGGAGAAAATGGAGTCGAGATAGTTGGAGATAAGTTTGGTGGGGCAGGAGCAGGCGGAGACAATGGGTCGACCAGGTCATTCAGGTTTGTGGATTTTGGGAAGGAGATAGAAGTGGGCGGTGCGGGGTTGGGGAACGATGAGGTTGGAGGCCATGGGTGGGAGGTCACCTGACATGATGAGGTTGTGGATGGTTTGGGAGATGATGGTTTGGTGCTCGGGGTGGGGTCATGATCAAGGGGGCGGTAGGAGGAGGTGTCGGAGAGTTGGTGTCTGGCCTCGGCGATGTAGAGGTCAGTGCGCCATACTACAACTGCGCCTCCCTTATCCGCGGGTTTTATGGTGAGGTTGGGATTGGAGCGGAGGGCTGCACATTCTACGGGGGAGAGGTTGGAGTGGGTGAGAGGGGTGGAGAGGTTTAACTCTGCACAGTCACTGGACTTCAAGTAATTCACACTGTGCTTTGAGATGCTATAAAATATAAATGTAAATCTTTATGAAATAAAACCTCCCCCTCTTTTCTGACCCTCTCCTCCCTCTTTGCAAACTCATTTATCTGGGACATCTGACCTTGACACTGTCACTTCCCTCACCCTTTCTCTAGCTCCACTATGTCAGGCTTCAGAGCTCCTGCTTCTCTCAGCCTGTCTATCTCTAGCCTGTCCTCTCCTTGCTCCAGCCTCGCTTTGGCAGCACTTGGTGTGGTCTCATACACTGGCCTCCTTATATTTGGTCCTCTTGCCTCCAGCCTTATCGTAGCAGCATGATATCATCTATCACAGATCACCTTGGAAGGATAAGGAATCTCAAAACTTTGAGCAAAGCTGAAGTTAGTTCTTCAACACTGCTACTATGCAATAGTAATTCGAGTGATGTTCACCACTAATGGGATGCTGCCACCAAGTCAAAAATACTTTCTGGCTATTACATAAATGTATAACATTTTGTACAAATTCCAGTGCCAGTGATAGGCGTGTAATGGTCCATTTCTGAAGAAGGGTCTCGGCCCGAAACTTCCGCCTTTCTGCTCCTCTGATGCTGCTTGGCCTGCTGTGTTCACCCAGCTCTACACCTTATTACCTTCTGACCATACTTAACCAGCTTATGCTTGCAAAACTCAGAGCAGTGTCCAACATTAGATGTGATTCCTTAGTAGGACAAAATTTGCTGGGTATTCCTGAGTCTGCAAAGAATTTTGTTGGCAACAAATTTAGGATTGTCAGTTGAATTTGAAATTTGGTACAGTTGCATACACAGGGCAGTTCTGTATACTAATGCTTAGGGCCCTGTTATTTGCAGACATAAAGAGCATATACATGCACTGTGCCTGTTTTAACTCAACAAATAGGTGACAGCTATTTACTGGATTGAAGTAAACATGCCTGCCTTAAATTTAAATAAAGCCTGGCTGTAAACTGTAAGTCATCACTAGTTGGTATATTCTCCATGGCAACCCCATCACTAATCAGAGTCCATTTGCCAACCAATCAGCACTCTTCTCTCGTGCTGTAGCAATGTTGGTTTTTCTTTTGAATTGGTGTTCTTGTGTTAAGTGCAAGATAAAAAGATTCGACAAAATGCGTTTTTTTTCTGACAACGCTCACATCTCAGTTTATGTGGTATATAGATATATATATGTTAAATGACAGTAACTCAGGATTTAAGGGAAGCCAGATAAAATAAGCAACACCAAAGGAGAGCTAAAGTGTGCCAGCAGGATGCATTCACTGAGATGAAAGTACCTAGGTCTTTCTCATGAGCTGTCTAGGTTTGGCTAGGTAAATAGCCCACAGTAAAATGAGGTTGACTGCTGAATAGAAAATAATCACATCTCTGAGATTTTACATTGCTAATTCATTTCAGAAAGTCATATGGAGGAGTTTTACCAAATTAGGAGGTCCCCAATTTACAAACTTGCAAATGCTCATACTTAAGAGCAAAGTCCTATATTGGGATTTAATTTTAAAGATTTAGCATGCAAACATTTCCAGCATTGGGAAACAGCTTCTTTACATTATCCTGCATTATGTTCCAACTTGTGTTCAAAATTGACTTGTGAATGGACTTCAGAACAAAATCCCGTTTGCTACCCAGAGACTGTTTGTATACACCAATTCCATATTTACCACTGGGCAGCTGTTAGGGCACTGTTTTTTTGAGACACACTGAATTCCCCAGTTATGTGGCATCATAATTCAAATATACATTCTCATTTTGCATCAACTAAATATTAATGTCCAAAATATGCAGGTCATTTGTGTCTCATAGACTCTTTCACGTGCATCTATGTTAACTCAGAGCTCTCACCATACTTCTGCTTTACCTGTCCAGTGCCCCTGCTGTAGTGCAACCTTAACACTGCAAAAGAGTATCTTATACTTTATTTCCTCTTAATTCCAGAAACTGTTTAGGTCTAATTATCATGACCTATAGTTTGTACTGTTTTACAAAACTGACGCAAGTGTTATCATTTCAGGGACATTTGCAGAGGATGAAGGAGATGATCTGCTGCTAAAGTATGTGAATGAATTCTGGTGGTTTCCTCACATGTGGAGTCACATGCAACCTCATCTCTTCCACAATGAATCAGTGCTGGCTGAGCAAATGATTCTCAACAAGGAGTTTGCATTAGTGAGTATCGGTTGGTTTGTGAATATAAGCATGAGTTACAACTCATAATCAATACAGATGTCTGGCCAGTGGTTAAGTTGATGTAGTTATCAGATGGCCTCATTATGAATGGTTGAGTGAGATCTAAGACTCACTATTGGAAACAGATCAGTAAAAGGTCTGTTTATATGGATTGAAGGAATATGAGAGATTCAACTGAGTAACTTTTTTGAGATTATAATAAGTAATTTTCTCTTTCCTTTGGTTTTTCAAAGCCTGTTTGTTTATTTAAACATTACTAATCGGTACAATCTGGAGTAAAGCTTCTATAATTGATGCCAAATAACTCTGTCTTATTCAAACTATAATAGTTTTAGTAAGAACCGCAGTTGCCTTTTCTAAGATGATGATATTTTTCATAAACATGTCAAAGACTTCCCATGATTATTATTGATTGTGCACTTACTGCATATAGGTAAGTAGAACATGTGCAGGATGCAAGGGTGCTAGAAGGGGACTGACGGTAATGCAATGTGCATGGGTAGATCATGGAAGAAGCCTGGGTTATAATGGGACATGGAGGAAGCATGGCGAATGTAAGGGACAATGGAGGGAACATGGGATGATGGAGGTTTCATGGGATAAGTAGGTCTGCACTAGGGCAAGAGTGTCTAATAACCTTTAAGACTCCTAGGTTGAAGTCCCAGACAACTGTGCCTCTGTATCTCTCACTGTTCTTCACCATGCCCTTAGTTCCAGAGAAGAGCATAGCACAGGAATGGACTTTTCAGACCACCAAGACTGTGCCAACACATGACGCCTTTTTAGACTAAAAACATTCTGCCTTAATGCTGTCTGTATCCCTCTTTTCCCTGCCTATTCATATATCTGTCAAGATGCCTCTTAAACTTTGCTATTGTATCTGATTCCACCATCTCCAGTGGCAGTGCATTTCAGGTGCTTACCACCTTATGTGTAAAAAAAAAACCTGCCTGTCACATCTCCTTTAAACTTACTCCCTAATAATTGACATTTCTACCCTGGGACAAAGACTCTGACTATCCTTTCTATCCATGCCTCTCATAATTTTGTAAACTTCTTTCAGGTCACCCCTCATCCTTCGACGTTCAAGTGAAAACAAACCATGTTCGTCCTAGCGATAGTAGGAACTGCAGATGCTGGAGAATCTGAGATAGCAAGGTGTAGAGCTGGATGAACACAGCAGGCCAAGCAGCATCAGAGGAGCAGGGTTTTCTGAAGAAGGGTTTAGGCCTGAAACGTCAACCTTCCTGCTCCTCTGATGCTGCTTGGCCTGCTGTGTTCATCCAGCT